ATTTTAAATAGGGAATAATTTTTAAAAATTTTCAAAGATTTTAAATATGACACAGCTATTAATATATTTGCTTTTTAATTGGTTTTATAGGGGAAATGTTTTTTTGTGTTGTTTTTTTAACATGCTGTGAGCCGCCCTGAGTCCCTCTGGGGAGAAGGGCGGCATAGAAGTTTAAATATAAATAAATAAATAAATAAATAGGGCATAAATATAGCATGAGGTTTGTTTTCTAAATTAAATGTAGGGATAGGGAGTGAAGATAGCAGTTATATAAGAATGGGTTAATCTTTTTTGGACAATCATTTTGTTTTTGTGATTGATCAGCAGAATGAAACAAAAGAATCACAATGGATAAAATAAACTATAAAATAAATAGTACAAGTAAAACTGTAAAAATAGTATAGTACAAGTAAAATTGTAATCCTTCTCTGTCCATTTATGGTACTCTGAAAAACTCACTTATGCAAGTAGTAAGCTTAGAAAGAACTAAAAGTATGCAAGTTGCTTCATTCTGAATGGATTCAAATACAAATTTCATGAAATGTTTCATTTTTGAGTTTTAAATATGTTCTTAAAAGCATTTTGGAAACATTTTAACCTTAAACTTGAAATACCTCCTAATACTTAAAACAACCAATTTTACATTTAATGTGTGACTTTTCATGAATTTTCTGCTTAAAATAAGAAAACCTTGTTAAAGATAATAGAAAAATATTTCTAAGTTTAACATGGGAAATTTTCAGGTAATGCACTTCTTTGTCCAAGTTGTGCCATTCTCCAAATTATACCCATACAACAATTCAGTTTCTAAAACTATCTTTCACTGATATCAATAGATTTTTTTCACATCATTTGCTTTAACCTAAATGCAATCAATATAAGTCCCATTCTTGCTCACCCACTATCCAGACAAAGAGGGAAACGTAAGGCTGTGGAGAAATGAAGAAAGGGCAGGAAAAAAAATATGTTTATTACAATCCTAAAACCTCCTAGGCCAGTGGTTCCTTTCTACTTAATTTAAGACAAATGGGTTTCAATCTTTTTTCTTGGTTACAAGATACATAAAAATAAATGTAGACTACCGCATAGGCAAGCCTATTCAAACTATTAAATTATAGTGTGTTCTGAATATATATACAGATAGACCTCAACTTATGACTGTAATTGAGCTCAGAATTACAGTCATAAGTTGTGATGGTGATTAAGTGGGCCACCACATGATGACGCCTGATTTTACAACTTTTTTTGTGGTGGCCATTAAGCAAATGTTGCGGTCATTAAATTAACATCAGAGTTGTTAGCTGAACATGGTGGTTAAACTAATTCATTTTATCCAATGGCAGTTTTTGCTGGAAACTGAAAAAAAACCCACTGAAAATTAACAAAAATAGTAAAAAAAAAATGCAATCTCAAATGGTTACAGATAGCCATAAATGTAAGCACTGGTTGCCAAGTGCTGAAATGCGAAGACATGAACATGAAGACCGATACAACCATAAGTAGCTTTTTGGGGATCCATTTGGACAGGCAGAATTTGATTTTTTCCAAATACTGAACCTATACATTCTCTCAATTATTTCATATGGTTAGGTTATACCGTATTATTATTATTAGCCTATGGCATTGTTACATTAGCCAGGAGATCACAATATACTTTGGCTTCCAAAGTACCAGCTCTATTCTAGGAAATGCGTCCTTTCTGTGGCGCGTCACATAAGGGTGAGCTAGCTTCACATCAGAAAAAAAGACAAGCAGCTCTTCCTGCAGAGTCATTCAAGGCCCCCTCCCTCCCTGGCACCATCTTGCAAACAGGCGCCGCAACTGGGAAGGTTCAGAGGGCAGGAATGTGACTGCCTGCACCAGCTCTTCTCCCCCCCATCGAAGTGGTACCTATTTTATCTACTCGCATAGAACATGCTTTCAAACTGTTAGGGGGGCAAAAGCTGAAGCAAATGACGGGAGCTTACCCTGATACACAATGCTAGAATTTGAATTGCTGGAGCAGAAACCTTCTCCAAGGTCATAAAGCCACTGAACCACCACGCGTCTATTAGGGTATATCATTGCCAATATATGAATTAGGTGTTTTTACAGTTACACATTTTAAAGTTTTCATGTTAATTGCATAAATGTGCACACACGCTTGACATGATTACCTTTCTCTTTCATAGCAGTACAGCAGATAGCAAGGCATTCAAGTTTCTCATCTTGGAGTTAAATGGTTTCAGTTCACTGAAAGTGTCACAATGTATCTTTGCTATGTTTTTTTTACCATGGATGTTTTTAAATTTTATTTCTCACTGCCTAAGAAGCAGGAAAGCGTTTCAAACAGCCAGATGTATGATGATATTCCTTTTTCATTATTTTGACAACAGTTTAATGATTTAAAAACAACTAGCATATAAATGGCTAGTTTACATCTATCTCTTAGACAGGAGTTCTGTTGAAAACAGGAAAACTTGAATTCTTTAAAATCCCTTTTTTAGAATCTATTAAAAAAAATTGCAGATCATGTTTAGAGTAAACTATCCATAGATTGAATGAAGCAACTGAACTAAATATGTGATTGAATGGTCTTTATACAATACCATAATAAATCTATAAATTAATTATTATATGCAACTACCTAAAATCATTTTAAAAATCTGTATAAATCCAGTATTTCATTACAGTTTTGGAAATTGTTTTACTATAAAAAGCACAAGAGGAACTACGAAAGTCACAAGTATTACTATATTACACAAGAATAATATAATAATACTTTTCTATCTTTATCTTCATGTTTGCCAAATCCATTTATTTGTTCAGCAATAGTGTAAATATGTGCTCAGCACTGTAGAAATACATTGCCACATTGAAGTGTGGCTTCAATGGGAACCCAATCTGTTTCAAGTTCAAAATATTTTGAATTTGAAACATTGTGTACATCCCAAGTACATTTTGCATTTTCTATATTTACTGAAAGATTTTTCAAGATGTGCCAATGTATTCCTCGACTTCTAGTGCCCTGCTAAAGTCCAATTGCGGCAAAACAAACTTCTCAAGGCCAGACATCAATACATGTCATGGATATGGGCTATTACCGTGTTTCCCTGAAAATAAGACCCGGTCTTTTTTTTCTTGCCTCCAAAAGAGGCACCAAGTCTTATTTTCAGGGGATGACTTTTCCACTCACCTCCGGCACTGACAGCCCCGCCCAGCCAGCCCACTTCTTCTGCAGTGTCCCACGGCCTGCATTTCGCAGTCAGAGATGCAGCTGAGAACTGAGCTATGGATTGTATCCGTAGCTCAGTTCTTGATTGCAGAGGCCTTCCGGAAAGGCCTAACTAATTGCAAAATGCAAGCCAGGGGACACCACAGAAGAAGTGGGCCGGCGAGAAGAGACAGGCTGCAATGGTAAGTGGGTGCGGAGTGCGTGGGGCAGTTCCACCCCTTCACCCCTGCCCTAGCTTGATTTTTAGGTGTGTGCCTCGCCCCAAAACTAGGGCTTATTTGGGGGGTAAGGCTCATATTAGGTCCACCCCCAAAAATCAAGCTAGGGCTTATTTTCGAAGTAGGTCTTACCTTTGGGGAACACAAGGTATTCCAATTAAATTGTGGCTATCCTTGTTGACAGGAACGAAGAACTATTCAAAAATGTAAGTCCATATGCCCAGAATTTTGCATAGAGGACAAAACTGGTATTTTTGTAGAGACTTGTTGAATACGAACTGTGAAAACAAGGACTGGATTTTGTATTTTGAGAGTGATTGTTGCTTAGCTCTATATCTGTATGTGTGTGTATGTGTGTGTATGTGTTGGAAAAGAATATGGAAGCAACATGAAATTTCTAAAATGCAGTAGTGAGCTAAGCTAGGCTCTTCTAAAAAAATCAATCACTTCTAGGATGATAGCAGTAATGATGATGTCCACAAGAGGGATGAGGTAAATTGACCTCCTGTTTTTTCTTTTTCCAAATGCTGAAATTCAATAAAAATTCAAATATTACACTTACCGAATTCTTAGCATGTCCTTTCTCATGTCAAATTTTTCAAAAGAAAATTTTGCATGCTTTAAAACTTATTATATGCAAATTTATGATAGTTTGAAATCCAGACATTATTTGCAATCACAACTCAAAGCATTCTGTCGGAGAACACAGATTCTATAAATAATCAAGACAACCTCAGCTGGTGAGGCTGCCTTAGCCTCAAGCAGATAGCAGAGCCAGATCATCACAACTTCTGTAGGCTGGTCAAGGGTCAAATGTCTGACTAAAGCAGCTTTGCAACACAAGCTTTATTATATTACTTCATATTGAAAAGAGAATGAATTTTAAATGTAAGTCACAAGATACTCTCTTTAAACAGAAACAGTAATGGTAAAACTTTAAGTTCACAGACTGCAGCCAAGATCAGTATTTTAACAGATTATCTTAAAAAAGTATTTATCTTACCTAAATAAGGAATACAAGGAGTCATCTTCAAGCTACTAATATAGTCTCTAAGTCTTTTATAATTGTCCTCTTTGCTCATTACGTATTCCAGTTTGTCAAAAGAAGCCTTGTCTTTTCGGCTCAGTAACTTTTGGGAAAATAAAGAACAGACAACTATTAGTGTAAAAGCTATCTTTTTATAGTCAGGTATTTAATAGTTATTTTATATGACAAAATAGGATGCTGAAAAACCTACAACTGACTAAAAGAAAACATTTAAAACAGACATTTAAACAGACAAATAAACCTCAAGGCCAAATTACCCTTCATATTAAATCCCTAGTATTCTGCTGGTGATTTTTAAAATAAGCTTAAAAAGTAGCAATAGATATAAAATATATCCCGATGGGTTTTTGTTTTTTTAAAAAAATATTTATTCCATTCTCTCTTACTAAGGTAATCACAACAGAGTCAAAATACAGTGCAAACTTCAAAGTCAAAAGTCATAAATTGCCATTAGATAATGTGTCAAAGACCCCAAAGCATCAAAGTTCAGGGAGGAAAAATTAGAATCAGAATCTAATGAAGACTCCTAAGTGAAGAAAAGGTGGAAGGAAGCCATATTAATTATCTAATAAAAAATATCTAACAATCATCTCTTCTTTTTATAGCCCTCTGCACTGCTTTTCATGTGTTTCCAAAAAATCCTCCAATCTTTCAAAACATATTTTCAGAAGGATAGCTTTGCTTTTCTCCAGATAGAAATGGCAAGGCACTCAGACTTATATACTGCTTTATAGTGCTTTACAGCACCCTCTAAGTGGTTTTATTGCCCCCAATAATCTGGATTCTCATTTTACCGACCTCGGAAGGATTGAAGGCTGAGTCAACCTTCAGCCGGTTAGGATTGAACTCCTGTCAGTGAGCAGAGTTAGTCTGCAGTACTGCATTCTAACCACTGCTCCACCACTGCTATTGGTACCATCTAGTGCTAGAGGCCTTTGAAGGAACAGAGTGTTTATCTGAGGCTGAAATCATTCCTCAAATAAGCAGCAGAACCATTCACTAAGCACCATTACCTTTCAAGACCCAAGTTCCTGACCATCTCAGGAAACAAGTACCACTTGTAATTTTCCTGTAGGATTTCTGGGGAAGAAATGGCGGATTCAAGATGACTCTGTGAAAAATGGAGCCGACAACCTTAGTTGTATGAAAAAACAGCAAGTAGACTAGCTAGCTCTTCGATACTTCCTCTCTGGACAAGGAAAGGACTTGAGATCATCTATAAATGCTAAAGACAGCTGCTCCTCACAAACAGATTGCAAGCTAGCAGTCTCTGGCAAATTTAGAGTTCTGGGAGACAAGGAAACAGCCATCTTGCTCAAACCACAGTTGATGCCTTTGAAAGAACCTTGGGTTTACATACTTCTTTTTCTAAGCACTTTTAAAAACTGCTTGATAACTCTTTTCAGATACTATAAACCTTTTAATCAACAGGTTTTCTAGTACGTGGTGAGTTTCTTCAGTCCTTAGTAAAAAAAAAAGTTTCAAATACAAGCTTAAGGAATTTAAAAACTATTATTTTAATATAGGTTGATTAAAATTTTGATTTTAGAAAATTACAAATGTATTAAGAATCCAGATTAATTTGAAATAAATTATAAATAATTTTGAATGCTAAAAAAGCATAAGGTAAGAATTGGATACTACAGATAACTAAAAATTTCAATTAAAGGAGAACACTCGAAGTGGACTTGGGATGAAGCAAAATATTCTAACATAATGAAGAATATTTTCGAACACTGAACCTAGAAGCTAACTTTAACAATGTTTGCCTCTATAGAATGACTGTGTCTAAAAGATGTTATGGAAGAGGAATACGTTTTACCTGACAAAATGGAGACTGATTTGAAAGGGGATTTAAAAATAACACACTACAATATGGAAAAAGATGCTACAATGGATGTACAAAAGAAACTGGCTAACATCTTAATAATTAAAAGGGTTATACAAACAGCAAATCAAGAAAGTGACTGGGATAATTTTCTTATATTGAATTTACAAAAGAGGCTTGTTAAAGCTTTACAGAATTTTATGAGAAGGAACAAAGAAAAAAAATGTAAAGTCAAGTTCTAGAACATTACTTGAAGGAACTATCAATATTTTATCACTATAAAAGAAAGAAATATAATATTAGTTTATCTGATGACGGTTAAAATAGATACGTTATTTCTAGCAGCCCTTAATGGACTTCTGCTGAATTTCTTACTCTTACTTTCAAAAGATTCCAATTTTTGCCTTAAAATACATCCCTTCATATTCTTTTCTTATTTTGTTTCTTTATACCACAGATGCCTATAAAATCTATTGACTAGGCCAGCTCCTTATATAATTGATGTTTTGTTATTCATTAATAAAAAAGCAATTATTTAATGTAATTCACTCACCGCCCATGTTTTAGTCAACCTGAAGATGGGGGCACTTTGCAATCCAGAAACCACAGCCATAAGAGCATGTAAATTATTTAGTTCATAAAGTTTCTGAGGACAAGAACAGAAATGGAAGCTCAATATCAAGTAATTGTTAAATTACTGTTAAATCATAAACCTTTGAACAATGTTCTAAGAGTGCAGGGCAATAAAGAATGGATACAACCAGATGATAACCGATACTTCAGCCAAAATAAAACTGCCAAAGAATTATAAAACTGAAGTGAATCATAAAGCTTCACAACTATTCTGTCCTATACGATCTAGATTAGGTTGGATCCAAGCAGAAACTTTCAAATGCTTTCGCTCTTTGCCTGACCTATAAATAATATTCTTTTTGAGGATTGAGAGAATCTGCTGATATATTTTCTGACAGAGGGGAGAAAGAAGAAAGTACAAAAGAAATACTGAGAATGGAATAGAAAGCAACTCTACTAATTATTCAACAATCACTTCCTTTCCCCTTATCCTTTTGCCATTCTACCACAAGGATTCCCCAAACATTTGAGGGTCTTGGGTATGGGGAAGTCTAGATTCTGTTTATGCCCCTCTGTAGCTGTCTAAATGTGATTTTTGTGTGTAATCTAGCTTGGCCTGGGGCAAAATGAACAACAACTTCTTCTTTAATTAGGTTAAGAGATCAGCAGCACACTTATACTCTTTAAGTATAAAATTAAGGTTAATATTACTTAGAATAGAGAAACTGGGGGGAAATTAACACAGAAATATAGTATAGAGCAGTAGCATGTGCCCGCCATATTCATCTGTTGACTTATCTATCATTCACAATTTAACATTTCCACCAAGTTTATTATGTGTCTATTTATAAAATATATATATCACTAGAATTGAAATTACATATTTCTATTAGAACTCTGATAAAAACATCTAAATCTGAAAAACTGTTGCAAATAGAAAATTATTTTAAAATAAAAGTATAAAATCATGTAAAATAATATTATTTTGGTGACTGATATATAAAAAGCCTAAAAGCTACATAAATACAAGAAATGGGTAACAAGAAATTATAGGAGTGAACTTTAATATTGTTCATGACTTCATCAACAAATACTTGTTGTTTTGTACTATGTGCTCAAGAGAAACATGCAACCAGTAAATCAAGACTTTCAATACATTATTCAAAAAATAAAGCCAGAAAATATTGTGCACTTTTTAACATACATTTATTTACAAATGTAATTAATTTGTGGTTGATTCAACATATGTACTGCCAGTTTCAGAGGAACGGTTTCAAACTTACTAGCAATATCATAATCTATTTCTGCAACTTTCAAACAATAATGAAGAATTATTACATGTTGTAATTTCTATAACTTATTCACAATAATACCTTTCTCATATTATAAGTAAATGGAACCAAAATTGTAATAGATTTTTGAAAGGAGTTTTAAAGTTTAAAACTGTTCCCTAAAAATATTTTCTTACCTTAGCAGTTTTGATATAGTGGCTTAGGACTTCAGCTCTTATTTTCAATGTCTGTGCATGAAGAATCTCTCTAACAACCCAAAAACTTACCTGAAAACAAAAGGTCTACATTAAAATATATACAAAAAGGAAGTGGTGGTGGTAGTGCTAATAAAATGTGAATACCGAAATAATCAAAAATTTCCCATTATAAAATCAATGGGTCACTTTAAAAGATGCAAATTATTCCCTTAGAATGTATACTTCCCTCATGTGTGGATTCAATTAGCATACCGTATATACTCGAGTATAAGTCGACCCGAGTATAAGCCGAGGGACCGATTTTCCCACAGAGAACTGGGAAAAATTGGTGACCCGCGCATAAGCCGAGGGGGCATTTTGGCTGTTCCTCCCTGGCCGCCGCCCCACCCCCGCCGCCGCCCCNCCCCCGCCGCCGCCGCCGCCGCTGACTCGAGTATAAGCCGAGGGGGGCATTTTTCAGCCCCAAAAATGGGCTGAAAAACTCGGCTTATACTCGAGTATATACGGTAGGTCCTTTCTATTCATTCAGATAGATGGACATTTTTAGTCTTATTTTTGTTATGCAATCTCATTGAGGGTAAGGGCAGAGGTGAGAGACGGAAGTATAGAGATATCCCTACCTTTAACATAAATTAAGGTTTTAACAAAAGAATAGAGCACATGGTTTTATTAATTGCAGTATTTTATTGTGATGTATACAGTTAAGTCTCACAACTTACATGGTTGAATCTTCTTGTAAAAGCAACTGCATTTGGTGCTGAACTATATTTTTCCTTTTTATTCCAACCACAGCTTGACAGTTCCTAGATGAACAGTGAAAGAAATAATGTAATGTCAGTGTTCAGATTGCAAAACAAAACATGATTTTTCCTTTTATTAATAAAAGTTCTATTTATATTTTTCATAATATTACTGGTAAAGCTGATGTGCTAGATATAAATGTTAATCCTGAGCATGCTTTTTGTAAAAGTACTATGAATTATAACATAATTTGAACAATTCCATGTCTTTAGCAATGTGTGAATCTTTGAATCTTCAGAAGCATTTCATTTGAAATTTCCGTTGAATAGCATTCTAAATTGAGATGATTAAGTGTATAAAAGAGAGTGTGAAATCTCAACTATCTTGTATATCCTTGTTTTTAATGCTTAAATTTGTCTAATAGTATACATTTCACTAAAATTCTCAAGCTATGAAATAAGTGCTATTCTCTAATATATTCAGTCAAACTATGTTAATAAATATGCAATATTAGCTTGATTCCTATATAACAAGCCGAGTTTTCAGTAACATACTAAAGATAGCCCCATTCAGACATTATGTAAACTGGAGTATTTACCTGTAGGGACTCCATCACAGAATCATCCCTTATCAATGTCACTGAAATGATGTTGGCTTTCCTGCAGTGATTCATGAATTTAGCACAGATTATTGCACAGAACAGTCTATACCCTAGCTCAAGAGAAACATAACAAAAATGCTCTCCCTTTGTGCTAAACACATGAATAACTTCAAAGACTTCAAACATCACTGGAGCAACACTGAGGCAGGAGTTATCCAGTGTGCTCACCTGATCAGTGCTCCAGATTCATAATGCCTGAATGGTCTAGAGTTTGTCTGCAATCCAGAACTGGAAACACTCTTCAAACTAGGAAGGACAAGATAAAATAAGGAGAGAATGGAGGGGAAATTTTGAAAAAGTGCAAGAGAGTAAGATCACTGAAAGAAGACAGAAGCTTGTTGAAGAACTGTTTATCTGCCAATACTTAAAACATTAAAGACTGCCATTATAGGTAGTCTTAGACCATTTGTTTAGTGATTGCTTGAAGTTGTAATGGCACTTCCCAATCCATTTTTCTAGAATATACTATATGAATTTGTCTGTAGTCTGTAAAAAATGTAAGTAGTTGATATAAACAGACAGCAATCATCCAAACCACCAATGCTTGACTGATTTAAAAATATTAATGTTAATTGTAATTGCAAAAAGACAGCACGCCAGCTATTTTATAATCACTTTTTCTAGTAGCTAAAACCACTGTTGCATGTTGCTATAATGGTTTAAGTAGAGGACATAGCAAAATATATTCTAAACAGTTAGGTACAGGCTGAAAACTGTCTCTCTCTCTCACCTAATCCTCCAACCCCACAAAAAAACAAACAAACAAAAAAAACACTTGGAGCTCCCTCCAATTCCCAGTCTTCACCTGGGTTGCTACAGGAAACATGTCAAAAACTGTTAAGTAGCCAGAGAACAGCCCAGATCAACTCTGGGTGTTTTGAAAAGTGGAAACGGCATAATTAAGATGGTATATATTTTCTTGCCATTTGCAGAAAGCAAAATAAGTGATTTCTGTGAAGAAGGTCCTTTGAAGCTGTAAGTCACCTTGTAATTTAAACAGCTATGAATCAAATGCTTGTTTTTATATTAAGATACTCAATGTTTCTCACCCTACATTAAAAAAATAAATCTCTTCTCAATGTTAACTTTTCTAGTTTGACTTATTTCTCTCAAAAGTATAAAGGTAAACATGCCAAACTGCAAACTTTGTTGCAGATAAATCCTAAAAGAATTGTGTTCTTTAGTTTATATCACATTCTTTTATATGAAAAGATTCTGAGAAAGATTGGATTAAAATGTAATTTTTGCATAAATTCTTACAAGATTTGCCTTCTTCTTAAAATCCCCTTTCAGTCTAAATTCACTCCCTAAGATCAACCCTTAGGAAAACTGGCATAAAAATTCTTATCAGTGATCTTGCCTTCTTTTACATCACTATGGGGTTAATAAAACATAAGAAAGAATGTGATTTTAGTAACAGATGTTTTTGCATGAATCAAGGAATGGATGTGGTGAAAGAAAAATGGTTTGCAAAGATTATAAAGGCATGGAAAAGTATAATGAGTGTTATTGATTTAAATTAAATGTAGATTCCCTTTTTTCTTTCTCTTATCTTGTCTGTAATTTCTTTTTCTAACTGCATCTTATTGTTTTGGAGTTCTGTATGTTTTTTATATTGCAAGAGAACAGCATTATGTATATGCATGTATTTATATTGCAAAGAATAGCAAATGTGCTTTACTTGAAAGATTATTTACTGTTACCCACATTATTTGTCAACTTTTTTATATTGCCTGACTTTCAGCAACTTTGGGCTGTTCGCAAAACAATAATACTATGATAAAAGCAAAGAACAAAAGATGGCACAAACTGGACAATTATTTCTGATCCAAGAACAGCAGCCTTCGGAATATTAATAACTAAATTAGCCAAAACACTTACATAACTGCCCATCTTGTACCAAACTCTAAGTGGCTTACAATCAAAAAAGAAAACATGTGTCTTAACAAACAAACAAAAAATCAAAAGACCTGATGCCATAGCTAAACTTTCCCATGCGCAGCACAGTTCATCTTACTAATCTCTGCCTATCCTCTCCTAGGGGGAAAAGCCAGGTCCTGAGTGCTTTTTGGAAGGTTAAAAAGGTGGGGAGGGATTAAAAGGTTAAAAAATCAAGGAGAAAAATGTTCTATAGGGCAGGGGCTGCCACAGAAAAGGCCTGCTCCCTAGGTCCCTTTAAATGGCATAATTTAAAGGAAGGGATTAGGAATGTGCCCACCTTTAATCTGTTGGATGGGCAGGCCCCCTTAGGGATAGGCTATCCTGCATACGATCTGGTCCCTTGCCATATACGGCTTTAAAGGTAATAATAGCCTGTGCTTGAAATGCACCCAGAAGGTAACATTTCTGGCAAGGACATGGTGTGCTAGATGTCACTGAAGGACTGAGGAATGGCATTATAGCTGAAACTGATAGTAGGAGGACTTTTAACTGCTTTTTAAATATTAAGAACCTTGGGAACAGCAAATTTGATGGCATTCTCTGGCTAAGTTTCCTTCTGTACTTCAAGTACAACTTTGAGTACTTTGCAACTTTGGGAATAAATGGCAAAAGGGTAATCAGGCTAGATATAGATGTTATTTCTGATAACCCTTAGTGGACTTTTGCCGATCAGAACTGAACGATGAAGTTTTAAGAATTTGTCTATAGTTAAGTGATGCAATATGGTATAAACAGATTGCTATATTTTAAGAGAAAATGATAAGTTATTCAAATTTAAACTTGTTGAGACGAATTAATTAATTAATTTCTGGACTATGTCATCCTAGTATTTTCTATACCACATGCCCACCTAATATAATCTATAATAATATTTAAGCAGGAAAAGTACATTTACTTATTACATGTTTTATTTATCTAGCCATTCAGATGTCAATCATTAAAGCTATTAAAGCAAAAGGAAAGTACAGTCTATATGCATCTACCATATATAAAAGATGAAATATAGAAAACACCATAATAGAACTGTAACTTGTTTTTTTATCAAATTATATTAAGTTTTCTAAGAAACACTCACCTCTGGTTGAATAGCTTTAAATACAGGAATATCCATGAGTGTAATCTGGCCCTTAAATGAAAGTTATAAGAAAATTAAAATTATGTTCCTTGTTTCACAACTCAGTTCATTTGATTATTTAACAATTCCTAGCAAAATGACAGCATGCCCCCTCTGTTTCCTTAGCTATGTGATTACATATTGTAATACATATATGGTTACAATTATAATTCTAGGGTAAAGAAGAAATGAGAGCAGTCCTGAAAAAGAAAATTCAGGAAAGCGTTCCTTAATAGAAAGAGCTAAGATGCTGACAATTCAAAAGAGAAAGTATAACTTAATTTCACAATTGCCAGAGTGATCAATCAGAATTATTAGTACTAGTTATTATTAGAATTACTAAGAATTCTAGCTGATCGGGAACACATTTTGTTGTAGATTGCATTCATTTCCACTCACTTTGCTACCACCTGTTAATAAGACTATATAAAGAAATGTAACATATTATAGTCAGAAATCTTTGCTTTTCATTCCTTTTGCAAATTAGAAACAAAGAGAGGATTTTATTCTTATCTTAGAAGCATTGGCATCTTAATTACTACTATATCAAACCAACTCCCCTTTCAAATATTAATATATTTCAAAACAATATTTGTATTTTCACTTGGCATTTTCCTTTTCAATTTTATAGGACAGTCATTTTCTGTGTGTCTGAATCTTCATGAGGAATTAGTTTTGCTGAATATTCACTAAGCTCCTGTTTATGACACTTACCTTGTGATCTGAACGCTTTAGACATTGTTCAGATAAGAAATCACTATGGACTGCAGTGTTCATAAATAAACAGAGGCACTTATGAATGTATTCATTATTTTGAAGTATATCTGATTTCAGCCACAAAATTCTGTGCTGAAGAAATTGAATTCTCACATGCGTAAGAGATAATTCTCACTGTCATTTTCCGGGAATATTTTAAACTTAAGAGCCCTTAAAAATAAGGATTCTTTGTGGTAAAAGACTAAAATGGGCGTTGTCTTACCTGAACGCCATTTCTCAGCATGTAGATGTAGCCTCCACCGATGGGTTATCAATGCCTCCTTGCTCAGTTTAGACTAAGATCAAACTTTGGCCACGCCTCCTTGGGCTGTCCTTCCCCAGTTTGTTGATTGACGAGGCGAAGCCCACTTGAGCTGACACAACACTCCTCCTGAAAGTACAGCCTAGACCCACCTACACGGGCGGGTGTGGAGGCTACATCTACATGCTGAGAAATGGCGTTCAGGTAAGACAACGCCCATTCTACAGCATGTGAGATGTAGCCTCCACCGATGGGACATACCCAAGCCCCCATGTCCCCCAATGGGAGGGAAGTCTAGGTCTGTGAGTCACGAGCCGCCACCACCTTCTGCAAGACCCTCCTGCCAAAGGCCGCATCAGCCGCCGCAAACTGATCAAGTTTGTAATGCCTTATAAAGGAAGAGGGAGAAGACCAGGTGGCTGCCCGACAAATCTCCTCCACCGAAGCCTGGGCAGAATAAGCCGCAGACGTGGCCGCACTACGTGTGGAATGAGCTGTGACATTCGCCGGAACCTGAAGAGTCTGAGACTTGTATGCATAAGAGATGCATGCCCTGATCCATCTTCCAATGGTTGAAGATGATACCTTCAGACCCTTGGAAGAAGGATGGAAAGACACAAACAGAGCCTCAGTCCTGCGAAAAGGTTCTGTACGTTTTACATAGTGATGCATGGCCCGTCGTACGTCCAACGTGTGCCACAGCCTTTCCAGATGATGGGATGGTCGAGGACAAAAATTTGGAAGAACCAGGTCCTGAGACCTGTGAAACCAAGTATTGACCTTCGGGATGAAGGATGGGTCCAACCAAAGGACCACCCTGTCCTCCAGAAAGTTACAGAGGTCCCCTCTGACTGAGAGCGCAGCCAGTTCAGAAATACGCCTTGCCGAAGTAATGGCAACCAAAAAGGCGACTTTCAGAGAAAGGAAGTGTAAAGAGCAAGATCTAATAGGTTCAAAGGGTGGCCCTGTGAGAACCAGCAATACTTTTGGTAAATCCCACGTGGGGTATCTATGCACTACGGGAGGAGCAGTGTGAACAGCTCCCTTAAGGAAAGCCCTGACTGTCAGGTCATGTGACAGTTGCGCATGATTCTCACAAGTGAGAATTGAGGACAAGGCAGCAATTTGTCTACGAATAGTGTTATAGGCCAGGCCTTTGTTCAGGCCCTCTAAGAGGAAATCTAAGATAATTGGAATGGAGACTTTCAATGGATCCAAACTCCGGGAGGCGCACCAAGTGCAGAAATGCCTCCATGTGGCGTCATAAATCCTGTTAGTTGAAGGACGTCTGGAGGCTTGAATCACCGCTATGACGTCCGGGGAAAATGACTGCCTGGCTAAACTCTCCCGCTCAAGTGCCAAGCGGCTAACTGAAGCCACTGCGGATCCGGATGTTGTAGCTGACCCTGACTGAGAGCTACTAGATTTGGTGGGATCTTCCATGGCGGAGAGACCGACAGATCCACTAGGTCTGCAAACCAAGGTCTCCTTGGCCAGTGAGGGACCAACAGGATCAGCTCCGCCTGTTCCAAAAGCAGTTTCCTGATGACTGCCTGAATCAGAGGAAGAGGAGGGAATGCATACAAGAGCCCCTTGGGCCAAGGACTGCGGAGCGCATCTGTCCCCTCCGCCCCCCGTGATGGAAACCTTGTGAAAAATCTGGGTAGTTGAGCGTTTACCGACGAGGCGAACAAGTCCACCTGAGGTTGTCCGAATCTCTCCGCTATTCTCACGAAAAGAGCCGGGTCCAGGCGCCACTCTGAGTGGTCTATCAATACCCTGCTCAAAGAGTCGGCTTGACAATTCGCCTCCCCGGAGATGTGCTCTGCGCAAATGGATGCCAGATTGAGTTCTGCCCACCGCCCCAGGGATAGAGCCTCCTGCATGAGGGACCAAGACCTCGTCCCCCCCTGCCTGTTGACATGGGCCTTGGTAGCAACATTGTCCGTCATTACCAGGACGTGTCTTCCCGCTACTATGTGGGCAAATTGGCGTAGAGCCAGGTGTACAGCCCTGAGCTCCAACCAATTGATGTTGTGAGCGAGATCGGATTGGGTCCATTGTCCCTGTGCCATGTGAGTCTGCATGTGCGCGCCCCAGCCGAACAAGCTGGCGTCCGTGGTCAGGACTAGCCTGTGATGCTCCTTGAACAGTGAACCCCTGTGTATGGCTGACGACACCCACCAGTGGAGAGACAATAGAGTGTGGTGAGGAACTCTCACTTTCCGTACGGAGGAACTCATGTTCCTCTTCTGGAAAGGCAGGAGGAACCACTGTAGGTGTCTGGAGTGAAGTCGGGCCCAAGGCACTATGCCCAGACACGAAATCATTTTCCCCAATAGCTGAGACAGCTGGACCAGAGGAACCACCTTGTTTTTCTGGATATTGCGAACCAAAGAGTTGATGCTGGCCTTGCGTTCTTGGGATAGATATACCTTGCACAGGTTTGAATCTATCACCGCGCCTAAATGAAGAATCCGAGTGGTCGGAATGGTGTGACTCTTTTTGAAATTCACGGAGAAGCCGTGCCTCTGAAGAGTCCGAATCGTGAGTTGTAGATCCAGCTGTGCTGACCGGAATGATCTGGACTGGACAATGATGTCGTCCAGGTAGCACTGTACTCTTACCGGCATCAACCTGAAATGGGCTGCCAATACCACCAGTAGTTTCGTGAAAACGCGAGGGGCCGAAGAAAGACCAAAGGGCAGAGCCCTGTACTGATAATGCCTGTGTGCATGGCAAAAACGGAGGAACCGGCGGTGATGTGGTCTGATTGGGACATGAAGATAAGCCTCTGTCAGATCTATGGAAGAGAGGTAATCTCCCTTCCTGATACTGGCCAGGATGGATCTGAGGGATTGCATTTTGAATCGCCTGTAGGCTACGAAATGGTTCAGTCCCTTCAGATCTAAGATCGCTCTCCAACCTCCCGATGCTTTGGGGACCACAAAGAGAATGGAGTAAAACCCCTTTCCTCTTTGATCTAGAGGAACCGGCTCTATGGCCTTTATTTCTAACAGGTGGGCAATGGCCTGGGAGACTAGCCCCGCCCTGTTTGCCTGTTTTGAGGTTGGACACTGGACGAATCTGTCTGGGGGGATGGAGTGGAATTCTAAGGCTAGTCCTAGCCTTATGGTCTCCCTTACCCAAGCATCCTTGGTGGTGACCTCCCAAACGTCGCTGAACAGAGTCAAGCGACCTCCTATGGGAGGATCCATAGTGGCGTCACTTGGACCTCCTGAACGAACGTCCTCCAGCTCCCCTAAAGGGGCGCTTGTTCTGGAATTGTCCCCTGGTTCCTGTGTTCTGGCGGCCCTGTTGTCGATCCTGTCTGGGGGGAAAGGATCGGGAACCTCTGGACCCATCCCAGGACTGCCCTGCTCGAAAGGGCTGCCGCCACTCCCAGGAAGCTCCAGTCCGAAAGGACTGTCTACGGAACTCCTGCTGGGGTCTCCTATCCGCCTTTTTGGAGGGGTGAGCCAATGTTTTCCTCTTGTCCTTACCTTCAACTAGGTGCGGTTCTAAAACTGCCCCAAATAGCAGATTACCCTTATATGTGTCTGTAGACAGACGCCATCTTGATTTAAGATCTGTCCTCCACTGTTTGAGCCATAAGAATCTACGAGACGCTACCATGGCCGCAATAGACCTGGCTGAGTGTTTGACCGAGTGGAGGGATGCGTCTGAGATATATTCCGCAGCAGCTGGAAGTTTACCCAGATTTTGTTGCGCACGCACCTGATCCGGGGAAATCAAGGCCTGTAACTCACGGAGCCACATGATGGAGGTCCTCGCAAAGAAGGACGAAGTCGCCGCCTTGATGGCCCAGGCAGAAGCCTGATGAGCTCTGCGGGGAGAAAACTCAAATCTTTTATCCTCCGCCTTGAGGTGTTCAGCCATGTCCCCCGGAACTGTGGACGTAGAGAATAAAGACGTCAGCGGGGCATCTACCTTCGGAACCTCAAGGAGGGAAGAAAATTTAGGAGAAACATTAAAGAGTTTCCTTTCCGTGCTGCTGGGCTGAGTGGTAGAGGACAGTGATGCCCACTGGTCCTCCACCGTGGTATGGAACACTGCAGGGCAAGGAACATGTTTTTCTTCCACAACCTTCACCGTAAATAAGGGGTTTGACTCCTGTGGAGTCGACGTAGAAGGTTCGGGCTCCTGTTCTGTGACCAAATTGGCCGTGGTACAGGCCTTTAATAAAAGGGATTTGAAAAGAGAAGGGTCGAAGTACCCTCTTCATCCTCTGACATAGGCAGGTCAGGAGCGTCTAAGTCAACCGACTCGGCCTCCCCAAGGTGGGAGGAGGTCTCAGAAATACCAGAGCCTATGGACTGTAGCCCCTCCGTCCGACCTGCTGGTAAGGTTGGAGGTGAGGTGGATGGGACCTGTGAAGGTCCCTGAGCCATGGAAGATGCCATAAATTGGGTGAAGGCCTGTTGCATAAAGGTGTTAAACTGTTGTGCCCAGAAGGTTTGCTCTGTAGGGGCGACCCCTGAAGTAGAGGCTTCAGCTGGCTGAGGGGTGTTTGAGGTAACTGGGACTGAGGGGCCCGAAGGCAAAAGCGGGACACTGTTTCCCCCTCTTCCCTCTGGTTGGACAAGTCAAGGGGGAACTCCTCTGGTTCGGTATCCTCGAACTATTCTTCCGTGACCACCTTCGAGTTTACCACTTGACGGGTCTCTTCGTCCCCCTTGGTGCAGTCGAAGTGACCTGGACTAGGAAACACGGGACCTCTTAAGAAAGAGGTTACGGTCCACAGAGGAGCTCCGGAGACGCTCAGCAGCCTTGGAGGGTTCTGTAGATAGATGTTTGGTTTTGGCTTTCTTCTTTCCCCCCGCGCCTGGATCAGAAGATCTGCGCTTTGACTGTGCGGGGGGGGGGCAACTGAACCCTGCAAGGTCTGAGGAGACACACCATCTGCCATTGTGAGCCGGACCCTCCAAGTGAGAGAAGTCCTGCAGTGGGGGTAAACACACAGATCAAGTTGTCCGGGAGGGAGCCTTCCCCGCGCCCTAAGACAACCATAATTGGCAAACAGCCAGACAGATTAGTAAAGCTGCCTGTTTAGGCCCTGCAGGCACAGCGCCGCGAGCTATTAGAACAGGTGGAATAAATTCCCCCAATGAGTGTGTTAGGGATAAGAAGACAAGAAGGAGATTCTTCCCTTTCTAACAGCAATCCTTGAACTGGTCAGAGAAAATTGCAGAATACCCCCAGAAAGCCCAACACAGCAGGCTGTAAATTGAATTTGCAGGCCTAATCTCCCTTCGGTGTGGAGTCCCCAACAAAATGGCGGCCACGCCTAGTTTGAAACAAAATGGCGGCCACAAGCCTCGTGGTCGCCAAAATGGCGACTCAGAGTCAAAGGGAACGATTTATGAGGCCCTGCAAAGTGGCCAAGGGCTTCCACGGCCTCTGCCACCCAGTCTTCACTCCCCTTGCAAATAAGGCAAACAAAAGCAAACTTGCGATTGAAGATCAGTTAGCAGGCCTCCGCTCTCCACTGGAGCCTCGTGGCCACGAGGAGAAGATTTCACTCCGACGAACTCTTCGTCCCTGGGGAAATCCCCTCTCCTTGCTCAAGCGCCTGTGACAAGGGCCGGCTAGCAAGTAGTGCGGGGAATCCCCGTGCCGCGCCAAGCTCCGAGCCGAGGGAAGAAGCCTCCGAGCGCTCAGGGAAATCCCCTCACAGCGCTGAAAAGCCGATTGCAAACAAAAAACTCCTGTTGCCTCGCAGTGTGAGGCAGCCGATGCTAGCAATAAACGAGGCCTCCCAAACGCTCAGGGGAATCCCCTTCGCAGCGTTGAAACGGAGAGGAACGGAGGCAAACGGCAATTCTGAGGCTCTGAGGGAATTGCCTCCCTGCAGGGAGTCCCCTGAGGGCTGAAATATAGCCAACCAAAATAAAAAAAAACAAACCCCTTTTTCTAAACCCTCTAATAGATAATTAAATCTTTAAAGGAGAAAAAATGCAATGAATCAATGAAATTTGCTAATTCCCAATCACCTAAAGCTAACTACAATTAAATTATTGAGGAGCTATACTAAGTTGTGTCCTTACTGAGCCGAGACTAAGAACAAACTGGGGAAGGACAGCCCAAGGAGGCGTGGCCAAAGTTTGATCTTAGTCTAAACTGAGCAAGGAGGCATTGATAACCCATCGGTGGAGGCTACATCTCACATGCTGTAGAAAAAAGGAAGATTGACTTGTAGTTCAAAAAATAAACTCCAAGGGCCACAAGTTCTTTATTTTCATTTTCACCTGGGTAACAACATAGCATTATTTAAATATAATGCTATAAATAATGAACAAGACCATTTGAAGTGGTAGAGACTGAGAATTAGGAATATATTTTTACCCAATTCTCAACACAGCAAAAGCTATAAAAAAATTGCTAGCATCCAGGCTAATGTAAAAGGATTTCCCATTCCATTCAAAATGCAGTAAATCTCAAACGTACTTCTGGAGAAGAATAGTGAACATTCTGCTTCAAGTCATTTTCTTAAAAAAAAGGGGGAGGATATACAGTAATGCTGGTATGCTCAAAGTAGTTACAGTATTTTCCCCAAAATAAGACCGAGTGTTATATTAATTTTTGCTGCAAATAATGAATTAGGGCTTATTTTCCAGTTAGGGCTTATATTTGGGGAAATACGGTACTAAATGTGTCTGCTGGCTGATAATCTTAACTGGGGCTTATTTTTGGGGCGTGGCTTATATTACAAGTGTTCTGAAAAATCATACTAGGGCTTATTTTCTGGCTGGGTGTCAACGCTGCTAACATTGGATGTTCTTGCTTTGACAACAGATGGAAATGTAGCCATCTTTTCTCTATCACTTTTAGAGTTTGTTGATGCTGGGAGGGGGAATGTGGATGAGAGTCCAGCTAGTCATAACTGTAATAACTCAGCCGTGGGAATCCAAGGTTATTGCGCCCAGAGTTGATAAAGATTTGGCGGGCTGCAAAGCTGGGGAGAAAGCCCGCGCTTCAAGCTCATTGGGAAGTTTATGACTGTTAATTGGAGGAGGGAATTGTGCTTTGCTACTTTGTGCGCAGGGGAGGGGAATTCAGTTTTTGGCTTTAACTATGTAGTGCCGATACTTTGTTTCTCGAATAAAAGATTCTTTAAGGTAAACAATGCCTCGAAGTTCTTTTGAAGAGTTTCATCTGTCGGAACCATGACACTGGGTATTATTTTCAGGGAAACATGGTAATAAAAAATAGTTTTAGTTCTGATTTGAAAGACTACATTAATTTTAATTCTAGTCCTACCGATACTAAATAATCAATTATGATAGAGAATAGCACTTATTTGAATTTTTATTATATTTTATTATATTATATTTTATTATAAAGACAGAAAATGTTTTTCCCATATACAGTACTCCTAACAGTTTCTCTTAATGCAGTGTATAGTAGACTTCTGTATGATTCTTCATTCCTCTGATACAGAGTATCCCAAGCTCTCTCTTAACTCTCTTGAAGAAAAATAGAAACTAATATGCTACAATTTGTTAAATGTAGAGCAAAAGGATTATTAGATTAGGAACATTAGTTAATTACTTACTGCATATTCCTCAGGTGTAACTTTCAGAACATCAAAAACTACTGCATCAAAACTTTTCTTCAATTCAGTAGAACCTTTGTCACTCAATGATTCTGAGCTGCTACTCTTCTGTCCAAGAAGAAATAAGTTAACTCAGTACAAAGATGTTTTTGAAGAAGTTCCTAAGTGGTTTTTAGGAGAGATTACTTGCATATTATTGTATCAATTCAGGCAAATGAAAAATTGTCTAGGAATTAGTTAACTTTTGTCCCTGAAAATAAAATTAAGAACCAGTACATGTATAGACTAAAGTGCTAGGTAATGATCAGAGACCTAGATTCAAGTTCACATTAAGCTAGATAAGCTAACTGGGTAGCTTTGGGTCAGTCACTAGTTTTTAAAACACTCTATTTCACACCATTTTTGATATGAACATAACACTGGAAAAATAAATGATGATACCCAATTAAATCTCAGGCCAGCCATCTCAGACTGTCAAGGTTTGGTCCCAGTGCCTGCAGGCTGTGTAAGTTTGAATGGGGAGGAACAGCTCCTGCTTAAAGAGCATGCAGAAGTCAGCTGTGGTCATGAAGGACTTTGTACAATTCAATTCAATGCACCAGCTATGCACTTTCCTAAATCCAGTAATCCTTCAGATAAGTCACTCATACCCTTGGCTTGACTATGTGATATACTCTATATGGGGCAATCCTTGAAGACCACTTGGAAGCTTCAGCTAGGCCAGAATGTGGCAATGTTACTGATGAGCATGCCTTGGTGTGCTCATGTAACAGCTCTGTTTCACGAGCTGCATTGTTTCCAGTTTCTTTCAAGATGTAATTCAAAATTTATTTATTTATTTATTTATTTATTAAATTTATATACCGCCCTATCTCCCTTGCGGGACTCAGGGCGGTGAACAGGCGATACTAAAAACCACGGTAATAAATAGTTTGTTTTAAAATCGAATTAAATAACGGGCTTGTTCTAAAAACACACCTGTAAAAAAANCAGTGCAGCTCGCGCAGGAGAGGTGTTACATGGGAGCATCTAGAGGCCCCCAAAATCCCCCGCGCAGCCGCATTCTGAACTAGCTGGAGCCTCCGGGTGCACCTCAAGGGGAGCCCCATGTAGAGAGCATTGCAATAGTCCAGGCGGGAAACGAGGGCTTGAGTGACTGTGCGTAGGGCGTCCCGATCCAGAAAGGGGCACAACTGGCGTATCAGGCGAGCCTGATGAAAAGCCCCCCTGGCCACGGCCGTCACATGATCGTCTAAAGACAGCCGAGCATCCAGGAGGACGCCCAGGTTGCGAGCCCTCTCCGCGGGGGCTAATGACTCACCCCCGATAGCCAGAGATGGAACCAACTGGCTATGACGTGACGCCGGAAACCACAGCCACTCGGTCTTGGACGGGTTGAGACGAAGCCTGTTCGTCGGTCGACATTATAGGTTCGACATTATAGGTAATGTCGGTCATTACCTATAAACTCCTAGGGTTTAAAGTTAACTAGGGTTCAAAGTTACGCACCCTAAAGCTACATATGACCTCTTGCAAAGTTACAACAGCTGCAGTGCCCCTGCAGTCATTCGCCCTTATGGCAGACCATTTGTTGCAACACTCCATTTTCAGAGCCCTGACAATTCCTTGGTGGAAATAGCAGCTGCTTTTAGTGTTTTCTGCACCAATCAGCTGGCTATTGGGAGGCTGCAAAGCTCTCTTGCCTCTTGCTAGGCTTCAGGAAGCTGGATCCTGAATAAAAGCTGCCAGCTTCAAGATGAACTTCCCCAAACGTTTCCCTTGCTTAAACTCCTCCTTCCCCTAGAAAGCCACATTTTTTCAATAAACAAAACAAAAAAAGCTGAGAGGGACAAGTTGTTGATCTCCCCTCCCCATTTAAGTGCTAAAAATAAAGTCTCTGCCTCTGCTCTTCAAACTCTAACCCTTTTAAAAAAAATTACCTCGACTCCAGCTGAAGAGTAGAGAAACAAAGCAAGCAAGGAAAGAAAATCTTTCTGCAGCTTTTTCTCTTGAACTGGAGAAAAAAAAACATTATCTCCAAAAGTTAGCTAACTAGGGCAACAAAATAGAGAAAACTGAGTCTTTGCAAACTTTAGTTGTCTATCTAGAGGCAGTCTTCAGTCTAGCCTTTAAATCCTCCCAGGATACCCCCATCACTGAGCTCCAGTTAATGATCTGTGCATTCATTTAAGAAATGCACTGGGGAGAGCAGGGATGGCTGGTTGTTACTTGAAGCAGTTCATTTAACGCTGTCCCAACTTCCAACCCTAATGGGCAGGCTCCATTATGGTTGTAACTTGAGGACTACCTGTACTTGAGGAACTGCTCCTCTCTCATAATATTCCTCAGCTGATTTGAAAATGTAGGGTTGATATATTCTGGGTTTATGGAGATTCTCAGTCATCCAGGTCATAGTTATCCCAAACATGCTTTTCACAAGGCAATTGGACTTTCTTGTTTTTCTTTGAAGATGTTTCGCTTCTCATCCAAGAAGCTTCTTCAGCTGACTGGACGGTGGGGAATGGAAAGATTTATACTCCTTGTGAAAAAGCATCTTTGGGATGTTCTGGGTTTATTTGAATTATCTACTGGGACTCTGGAAGTGCATCATCTCTACAGCAGCACCTGTATTATTCTAGAATAAGGTTCCCTCCAAAGATTGGATGGCCCCCACTCTGCTGTTGTTTAGAAGAGTTGTGAAGACGTGGCTCTTCACCCAGGCCTTAGGGCTAGGCAAAGGAAAATGAGACTTCTTGCTTTATTCTATCTGGTTTGTCATTCTTGCTATCTTTTATCGTTTATTGGTGTTGTTATAATTTCTATGAGCCGCCCAGAGTTATTAAGAGTTGGGCAACATATAAATTTAAATTATTTATTAAAGAAATACGATAGAAACCATATTGAAGGTACAATTGAATTCTATTGAATGTACAGAAATGTAAAATGCATTATTAAAACCCAAGTCAGTGAAATTAAAATAGTGAAAATCTTTTGAAATCTTTAACTCTTGTGTCAATCTAATCAAAATATATTATACCAAATATATTTATATTTATAAAACAGTGGTCCCCAACCTTTCCGGCTTTGTGGACTGGTGAACTGGTGTTGGGGGAGAGGGGATGGTTCTGCACAAGTGGTGGGTAGGCACATTTGCACAGCTCCATTTGTGCAAGTGGAAGGCATGCACACCTGCCACTCACGTAAATGGAGCTGAGCGTGTGCTTGCTGCATGTTCGCCCACCACTTCCACAGCCTGGTTCCAAACAGGCCATGTCCTGGTAATGGGCTGTAGCCCGGGGATTGGGACCCCTGTTATAAAAGAGCCATGTTCTCCTCTCCTCTCTTTCCCCTCACATAAATTGCAAATTCAACTTGCATAAAGAATCAATTAATAACAATACTCCATTTTGGTAAAAGCCATTAACATGCAGACTCAGGACTGATAAAAATACTGTCTCTTTATTGTTGAGATAGTTTTCCTATTAGTGGCCACTGTTTTACATTTTTACTACTTTTGATCATCAATGGGCAAATCATTCACCATATTGACAAATAACTTCTAGTAGGTAAACCTGGATTTTTCAAATTAAAATAATATTTCAAATGAGATCAAACAATGTTTTCAGTTATGTGATTTTCATTTTATTATATACACCCCACCCCCCAAATCTAATCAGGGAAATATTCTGAAGACATGGTTTCCTAGTTTGAAAGAATAGTACTATATAGTCATCATTTTTAAAAAAATGTAAATGTCCATATACGTAATCCTTGGTTAACATCTGGTTGCCTAGCAACTATTTCAAGTTACAATGGACCTGTCAAAACATACTTATGATCTGGTTCTGGTTGCTGTACTCCTCCTTCGGTCACATGAATGCATTTTTGGCGCTTGGCAAAACCAGTTCACGTTTATGACTATTTGCAGTACCCCATGGTCATGTGACCATGATTTTTGGCATTTTTTGCCACTTTACAGTGTTTACTTCCAGTTACTGACAAAAAACACCCATTGGATAAAATGGATTTCTTTAACAACTATGGTATTCACTTAATGACCACTGCAAAAAAGGTCATAAAACTGGGCACAGACACATGGTTTAACTGTTTAATCACTGTCAAAATTTACAACCATATGTTTAGGTCAATTACAGTCATACCTAGATTGTCCTTTGTTTTCATATTTTATACTGTAAATAGTACATGCCTTAAAATTTTATAGCACAGAGGAATTCTCTGCATACCATAATGTTTAAATTTTCCCCCTTTGTGTACTGCAGTATATATGATTATTATGGACCTATTCTGTTGTTAATTAAGTTGACTGCATAAGACATTCTTTATTTCTTCCTTACCTCTGAAGCAGTAGCTACAATATTAATATTACTGGTCTGTCCGTTCATTAGGGCCATACTGTTTGCATCATTGGCCTTCTGCCCTACATTTGCAGAAGTGGCTTTATTCATTCACGTTCACCCAAGTTATCATTCCTTAAAAAAGAAAAGTAATGTTAAGGATGCATAAGCCTCATAATACAGCTCAACATACTTTTGCTAATAGCAAAATTATCAAAAAATCTAATTTAATGCAAAATACAGTGGAATAAAAAAATTACATCGTGCAAAATCACCACAATATCAACTATAATTCAGTTAAATCCTTGGGAACTTTAATCACAACAAACAATAGCAAATTCAAACGAAGAGTACATTACTTTGATGACCATCTGATCCAGTAAACAAGAAAAATATTAGGTATCTAGTTAGTACTATCATTACAAATGCTAATATATTTTATTCTTCTACATTAGATGTTTATATTGTTTAAGAGATTTATATATCTATAGCACTGGTGCTTCTTAGTATTTATTTTAAAATACTTATTCAGCACTATATTACTCAAATATGTTTTTCTTTGTCTTGTCTTGAACATTTTCTCCATCTTTCTACAGCAGAATTTCTATAGCAGGCAGTTATCAAGGAGGACAAATATGTAAAATGCTTCTCTGTACTACAACGTTTGTTAGCATTTTTCATCATATTGGATAAGTAGATTTGCCCAGGTTAAAACTCATTTTAGATCTAAGGATTCTTCACAGTTTTGGAGCAATGTAGTATGTCCAACTGTATCTAGTATTAGAGACATCCAGTTCCTTTCCATTTTAGATAAGTGGGCCGGATAAGATATTGATGGATATTTTGACTTTACAGTAGCAACAGCAGGCATTTCAGATATGGAAGTAAATAGAAGAGAGGACAAGAACTGTACAATATAATAGTAAATGCAGTGGTCCTTAAAAGTTTGTAAACTGAATTTTCAATATTTCTACACATAGGTAGTCATCAACCTATGACCATAATGGAGCCTACCAATCATATTCATAAGTCGTGACAGTCAAAAGTTGGCTCACCCATGTGACCCAATTTTTGGCAGCAGTCATTAAATGAATGCCATGGTTATTAAGTGAATGAATGGTCCACACTGGGTAGGGTTTGCTGAAAGCCAGAAGTAAATGCTGGGTTTTAGAAAAAACTGTTGTAAAATATTGCCATGTAAGTGCAGGACTCTACAAACTGCTATAAATGCAGACCAGGGGAGTGAGTTGACAGAACTTTGAAACTAGGCCTTAAGTACCCCTAGAGAGGTCTGTAATAACTTTGAACAGTCGTTAATCAACCAGTCATAACTCAAGGACTACCTGTAAATATGCCTGAAAATGTGATCTGTTCTTGACACAAGACCTAAAATTAGATAAAGAGAACCCATTTAAACAAATGAGTAAAAAAAAGACCTTCATTTATTTATTGACAAAAATGAACCAAAGCCACATACTTAAAACAATATAATTTGAAACTTACAATTTAATACAACTTTATATAAACAGAAATTTAGAATTCAATAAATCTTGGAGCCATTTTATACAGCAGAAAGAACTTTGTGACAAAGCAACGGCCTAAGCAATGAAGCTCATTAAAACAGTTTGGAAGGTGCAGGAAGGCCATTGCCATTTTTTCCCTACCAGTAGCTGCAAGGGTAAGACAACTAAAAGTAATCAGAAGTGCTAGCTTTCAGATTCATGAAGTTTAAAGACTATTAAGGATATAAAGGAATGGAAGTTAATGATCTGTTTTGCCCTCTCGTGATTCTGCAGTATTGTACAGGTAGTCCTTGACTTACAACAATTTGTTTAGTGACTGTTCAAAGTTACAACAGCACTAAAAACAGTGACCTATTCTCACACTTGATCATTGCAGCATCTCCATGGTCACATGATCAAAATTTGGGAGGTTGGCAACTGGCATATAGTTACAACAGTTGCAGCATCCCGGTGTCTTGTGATCAACATTTGAAGCCTTCCCAGTTGGTTTCTGACAAACAAAGTCAATGGGGGAAAACAAATTTGCTTAACAACCACATGATTCATTTAAATGCAGTGATTGGCTTAACAATCCTGGCATGACTCAATTAACAACGGCTTTGTTTAGCAATGGAAATGTTGGGCTCAATTGTGGTCATAAGTCGAGGACCATGTGTATCAACTTTCAAAAATGATTTTACATATATATTGCATTAATCTCTAACTATTCTGGAGGAAGAATAATTTAAAAATATTTCACATAAATACTGTACACTATTAAATTAATAGCAAGTAATTCTTTAAGACTGGGAAAGTCTGGTTATATGCAAAGTTCAAAATAAAAATATCTTCCATTAATGATGACAGCTGCATCTTGAACTCCTGACAGTTTAGGGAGCTAATTTAGCAGATATTTTATACGCTTCTAAAAATCTGTAATGTTTGATACAGGGGAGGAAGCTTTGATTCCCAACGCCTCCAAAGGCGTTGAAAGTTACAAGGTATGTGTTTGGTGAAAGAATGACGCTAGTGAGGATAAGATAAAAATGTATTCTTGCTTTCTGAAACATAGTTTTAAGGTATAAAATAGTTTCTCAAATGTTTATTGCAAAAAGATAACAGAAGTTGGCATGAACATTGACAACTTGCTAACGATATTGTCTGAGCATTATGGATTGCCTACCTTGGCATCTTGAAATGTTGTGATCACACAATAAGAAACAAATGTGAAGCAGCTTTTAATAAGGGAAAGAATATGGAGCACATCTAAATAATATGTCTGGATGTAAATCCTAGATCCAAGCTCTCTGGTTCAAAAATAGAAGAATTTAATCAACCAGCACTAATAATAGAAGATTAAATTAATATAAAAAAGTTAGTTCTACAGATAATCCTTGGTTAACTACAGTAACTGGAACTGGATTTTTCCATTACTGAACTATGCGTTGGTAAAGTGTATGAAGCATGCAGTTGTAAATCAGCCCCAAAGAAGACAGCACAAAAGGCCCCAGCTGGTACACTAGGGGCATGTAGGCCTGGTGTGGGGGTGGCTATCATAAGCAGCTAATGGGAGCCAAAACGAGAGATATTGGGGAAAGATAGGCAGATGGCGGGATTCAACCAGAGGCAGTCCTTTATTTTACCAAGGCTTGGGACTAGGAGGTACCAAGCTAGGAATTATTTGAATTGGGATGGGTCCTTGCCTAATAGGATTTGGTTAACAACAGCAATGGGGACTCCTGAGATTACAATCACTAAGCAATGTAGACACTTTGAGACTTACAAGAATCTATTAATATAGCTTTAAAATAAAGTAGAATTAGTTCATTAATTTTTGTGATTTACCGATCAGTTATGACACCACAAATAATATCTCATATCTCATATATACATATATTTCATTCATTCATATTAAAACACTTAACAATGGTATTAATTCAACATGTTTTTGTAAAAAATTATAGAAAAAATTAAAAAGACTGCTTTGTATCTAACTGGTGATCCACTGAAGCCATCTATTTCAAAATTGTGGTAATTCATGCAGAAGCAAAATTATTTCAAAATTGTGCTAAATAATCAAGCACTCTTAAATGTAAAACTCACTAATATTACTTGAGGTACATAATTAAAAAATAAGGTAATATTGTGTATCTAAAATAAAATTAAGTGCTTCAAGACCTTTGGAATGTACTTGAATATTATGGCCATGAACTCCACCGACTCTCCCGTGGCTTGCTTCAATCAGACCTTCCATCTTCTCGCAAAAAAAAAGAAGATCTCGCGAAATTGGAAGGTCTGACTGAACTTTTTTTAGTTTCACAAACTCCATTTCCCTGCAGCAGGAGAGAAACACACCAGAGCTAGAAAGCAGGTGAGTGTTGATTTTTTTTGCTTTCAGGAAGAGGGAGGAGCTGGGCGATGGTGCACCAAGCTCTATAGCAGCACCGGAAGGAGAAGTGGCAGGAAACAGGGTTGCCATTTCGAGAACGAAGAAGGGAGATGTGGGGCGATGCAGGACAGCAGGCAAGTGCTCTTCTCTGCTCTGCATCGCTGCGCAGAGCCGCTCCGCCTCCTATTCTCCATTTTCTCCAGTGGCGCAATGGAGGGCTGGCGGAGGGAGGCAGCTGAGGAGGCTTGTGCCGCCCGGTCATGGCGCAAGCCACGGGAGACTTGGTGGAGGCAGCAGCTGCCGCTGGGCAGGTGATCTGTGGGACGGAGTGTGAAGAAAGCCCTTCCAGCAGCGCACAGCAGCAATGGAGCCTTTTGCTGTCACTCCCTCCTGGCTCCGAAATGGCAGAGGGCGACCAGGCCTACCCCGCCCATCCTCTGTACAGTAGCATGACAGTCTGGCTTGGGAGGGGAGTGAAAGGGAGCAAGGAATGGCCTGGCTGGGGTGGCTCTGAAAGAAGCAGGTATGGGGCGCATGTGGCAGCTCCACCCCCTCCCCCACCTGCCTCACCTCGTTGTGGTAACAGTGGCGTGATGTGCCGCGTGGCCTCCTGCCCCATTGCGGGAGTCAGGTGGGACGGAGTGAGCGAGGTCCTAATTAGGGCTTATTTTTGGAGTAGGCTTTACATTAGGCCCACCCCCACAAATCAGGGTAGGTCTTTTATCAGGGTGGGGTTTATTTTGGGGAAAACACGGTATAATTTTATCTTACTTATATTGCAATAACAAATGCTATGTTCCAAAATAGATCACAATTTTTGTAACTAAAATATCACATGCATCATGTTAATACAGGAGGCATACTTTTCTTTCCAATTCTATGAAATTATGGCAGTAAAGCACATTATTTTGTCACTTGCTCTTATGTGTTTTGTTTATGAAAATCAACAAGCAGAGGAAACAAGTGGAGAAATCAAAAGAAGCACAAAAGCAAAAAAAAGTTTGTTTATTACTATATAAGTTGTTATAATATTGACACAGAATAGGAGAAAACAATGAAATTTAAGTGTTTAGTAATCCTGACCATACTGGATCAGGAGGTATATATTAACTAAGAACTAGTTTGGGCTTATGAAAATAATAATTTTATTGAATCAAAACCAGGGTCAATTAAGCATTTACAAAATACAAGTGATTATTATATCGTATTTGATATCAAAATGATTATCTAATTTGGATTTCATT